TTGGTCTGCAAATGAAGCTTTTGGCAAATAGGGGATTTAACTGGATTCAAATGGTTAGCTTTATTTGCCAAAGGAAAAAACCCTGCTTCTTTTTGACGATACACACACAAAGGTTTTGTTTAAATAAATAAATTGACAACTACTACTCTGGAGGCCTTGGATGTGAACCAGCAACAACAGCGTTAAGCCATTTCAAAGCAGAGTGAATGCAATTTTCACACCTATTCTTTTTTAATTTAGGTCCATTTGAAACCCAAGCACCCCTTTATTACTAATTTTTTATGGCAACATTAATTAATGGTTTTGCTTTACAGCAGTAAGAATGCTGTTTGGACTGAGTGAGACAGATTAGAAGGACTACAAGATTAGAAAAACAATCTGTAAACTGGTCAGATGCAGTCGGAGGTCACCTTGATCTCCTGAAATGAGCACACTGCACTTGGAAAGCCTGGGGGTGTGGATGTATTTCTACCAGTGCAGATTCATTGGGGCTGGTTAGGTCAGCATCCTTTGATGTTGTCTCCTATTTTTAAATATAAGAACATTAGAATCATAGAATCATAGAATCATTAAGATTGGAAAAGACCTCTAAGATCATCGAGTCCAACCGTCAACCCAACACCACCATGCCCACTAAACCATGTCCATAAGCGCCTCATCTACACGTCTTTTAGGGATGGTGACCCTACCACTTCCCTGGGCAGCCTGTTCCAAGGCCTGACCACTCTTTCAGTAAAGAAGTTTTTCCTAATGTCCAACCTAAACCTCCCTTGGTGCAACTTGGAGCCATTTCCTCTCATCCTGTCGCTGGTTAGTTGGCAGAAGAGACCAACCCCCACCTGGCTACAACCTCCTTTCAGGTAGTTGTAGAGCGCGATGAGGTCTCCTCTCAGCCTCCTCTTCTCCAGGCTAAACAGCCCCAGTTCCCTCAGCCGCTCCTCATAAGACTTGTGCTCCAGGCCCTTCACCAGCTTCGTTGCCCTTCTCTGGACACGCTCCAGCACCTCAATGTCCTTCTTGTAGTGAGGGGCCCAAAACTGAACACAGGATTCGAGGTGCGGCCTCACCAGTGCCGAGTACAGGGGCACGATCACCTCCCTACTCCTGCTGGCCACACTATTTCTGATACAGGCCAGGATGGCATTGGCTCCCAAGGTGGGAAGAAACAATTGTCAGAATTCCATAAAAGCTGATAATTGAAGAAATTCCATATTATTTGATGGACAAGATGAGTTCAGACAAGATGAGTTCCTTGCTAGAAACAAGGAACAATATTTAGTGACTTAGAGAAGGCGCACAGTGATGCATTGTAATTTCCACTCTCCTGACTCACTTTATCTCTGCCATTAGCAGATCTCCAGGCTCCTATCTCAGCTACTCTGTTCAACATGGTGTACCCAGCCTCAGACCATCAACAGTATTTATCTTGCACTTCAGTGGCATAGCACAGATAAGACATCTTTTTGGAAGGTTTGAGGAAGAACAGTAGCTGGCAGATTGATGGGCAAATCTTGTGACCATTTCAGCTGGTTCTTGGATTATCTCAGCTACCTTCTATTCACCCTATACACGGGCAAGAGCTCAGGTTCCCCAGCCATCACTGTACCTGTATGAGAATCACAGAAGTGGATCAAAGCACTGTTGATGGCAGTAAAGAAGTCACAATCTCAATTATTTTGGCTTTAAATTATGACATTAAAAATTTTTCCTGGTATAAAGTGTGATATGCTTTTGTTTATTTTTTGGGTATAATTTTGCAGTCAGCCCAAACACATTGTGGAACAATCACAGGGAAGAACATCAGAGGCACAGCGATGTTCTTTTAAGAAAGCACCAATATTGTAAAGTGCTCACAATTTCATGGTGGGTTTTCAGCAGTGGCAGGTGAGGGGCAGGAGAAAGAGCTGAAGAAGCAAATTGAACTGCAGCTGCCCCCGGGCAATTCATCTATTTCTAGCTTTGCTATTCTTGCATTTCTTTGTTTTGCCTGAATCAGAAGAGATGAAGGTGGCAGGATTTTACATCTCTGCTCTGCTTTTCCTGGCGGTTTAGGAAGCCTCCTGTGTAGGCAGCACCTCTTAGGACAGACTGGAGGATATGGTGCCTTTTTAAACACTTTTGGACACAAACCAAGTTAAGCCTACTAAATAGGAATAGCTTTGAAAACTTGGCTTGAAATGTGTCCTTGAAAATGTAGTTCGCAGAAGATCAGGGAGACAAGAAGGAGCTGAAACAACTTTTGGAGCAGCTGGCTCTGACCACAGCTCAATGAGAACTACACTCTCCCCAGTACGGTTACCACCGCTTTGACTGAGCAAACAGCCAGATGGGCTGACTGAAGCAGTGAGCAAAGACAGTCACTTGATGAGATACTGCATAACGCAGCAAGAACAAGTAAAGATGTTTCTGGATTTAATGTTTAAGCTGTAGCCCAGCTGAAGCCAGTGGAAATACGTCTGTTGATTTCAGCTGGAAGTTGGGTTATGATGTGAGTAACTCAGGTTTTGTGTCACGGCTGCTATGTCTATTGATGAGAGCAGCTAGTAAGGAGGTCAGCAGAAATCAGTGTTAAGGCTTATCTCTCAATTAATGTCCAGAGAAGGGCAACGAAGCTGGTGAAGGGCCTGGAGCACAAGTCTTATGAGGAGCAGCTGAGGGAACTGGGGCTGTTTAGCCTGGAGAAGAGGAGGTTGAGGGGAGACCTCACCGCGCTCTACAACTACCTGAAAGGAGGTTGTAGTGAGGTGGGGGTTGGTCTCTTCTGCCAAGTAACTGGCGATAGGACGAGAGGAAATGGCCTCAAGTTGCGCCAAGGGAGGTTTAGGTTGGACATTAGGAAAAATGTCTTTACTGCAAGAGTGGTCAGGCCTTGGAACAGGCTGCCCAGGGAAGTGGTGGAGTCACCATCCCTGGAAGTATTTAAAAGACGTGTAGATGAGGCGCTTAGGGACATGGTTTAGTGGGCATGGTAGTGTTGGGTTGACGGTTGGACTTGATGATCTTAGAGGTCTTTTCCAACCTTAATGATTCTATGATTCTATGATTCTATGAATATTGGCATTAAAAGTGCCTGAGTAATCTTTTAGTTGGACAATACATGACCACTCAAAAAATACTGACAGAAAGTTCAGTGACACCTTTTCACTGACATTTATACTTCCAGAACAGTGAGGAGAAGGTAAGGAGGGCAGAAGTCTACAGAAAGGAGAAAAGGCCATAAAAAAGGGAATATACACTTAAGAATGTGTCACTTAGTGAACAACTGGGGGCCTGGGTAAGATGTGATATTCAGGTGGAAGATGATCGTGAAGCCAAGCAACCAGGGAATATTTCGGAGAGCTCAGGAACTGAGGCAATGATACTTGCGGTGCAGTTTCAGAACATGACAAACCACCAGTCGATGAGTGCATGCTATTTCCCTGCCGACCCACCCAGCAAAGTTCACTGGGGGCAGCAAAGCAGCCAGCAGGACAGGACTAGAGATTCCTCTTTATATCCAAGTGCTAGGTTTCCACGGGGAAGGATAGGTATATTCATCAAAACAAACTACTTTTTATCGAATTAATTCGGGCAGCATAGATTTCTCATTTAAAACTGTCCGTGCTTCGGAGGAGTACTGGGAGGATGGAACTGCCAGGTTGGCCAAGGCTTCCAAAATACCTGCAAAGCACTCTCTGAAGATCACTGCTATTATTAAACTGTGTTATTATCCCACTGGTTCATGGAGTTTACAAACCAGAATTAAAAGGAAGAGGTGGAGGATTATGATGTATTTTAGAATTTCTTACATTTCTCATGTTTCCTTTTTGGAAACATACAAAGGAAACTTCTGGGTCACCAAATACAATTCCTGGGTCCTGCAGGCAATCATGTCACCTAAAGGATTAATCTCCTATCAAACTCCTTGAACATCTAATGAACATCTTTACTAATATTAATGAGAATTGCTACTAATAATTTGCATTTACACACTACTTAAGGATCTTGAAGTGTTCTTTCATATAATATGCTCATTTTTATTACAGGCATATTGGATTTAAATGACTTGCCTAGGGTCTCACAGCAAGCCAGCAGCAGAATGACTCTTAGTGCTCCCAGTGCTTTGCATTAAATCCTGGACATTAACAGCTCCCTTCATAAAGGGAGCTTTGTAGCAGTAGATCCCCTCCTGGTGATGGTGGATCAAACCTTTTGTGATTGCTCAAACAAATCAAGAAATTACTTGAACCCATGTAATGCTTCCAATGTCTGCAAATCCTGGCTTCCTTTGAACTTAGAAAAATGACAGAAGTCTGAGTAATGCTAAGATAGCCTTTGGCATATGACCAACTATGAAATTTTGATGTGCTAAGTAGGTACCTCAGATCCCTATTTTCTGTTTGAAAATATGCAGTAATCTCTGCATTTGTTCCAGGAAAACTTCAGAGCTTTCACTATCCCTTGTGCTGTTGGAGGCGTATTTGAAAACAAAAAAACCCAACCCAAACAGTAAGTCTATAATAAACAAAAATCCTTAACTTCTCTAGTGGCAGAATTGTTGGAGAGTTTGCTCTGACACAGGCACGTTCCTTGTCATTGCTGTCTCTGAATGGCACTGTCCTCATCAAAAATTAACTCTGAAAGGAGGATATGGGCTTTGTTTATGGGCTCCTTTCTGTCAGGAAAGATGCAGTACAACAGAATGACGTGATTCTTCTGCCTGTGTCAATGTTATAATTCTCTCTAGCAAATTGAAACATTGGTATTTCCCCCTATGTTTGCCCTCTCATCTATGCCTCCTATGGAAAGGGCTGCAAATTGTACCCAATGATTTAGGGATATAATTTTCAAGCTTTTGCCTGTGGCATCTGGCTCTTTCTATGAGAAAAGAGCTATTTTGTGGCATGGCACTTGCTATAACATCAGAGGAACCATCTGCTAGAACAACAGCTACAGCAATACCGATCCCATGCATCGAAAGAGTTCCTCCAACGTGGTGGTGGCTACCCTGGAGCTCTCACCTGTGGCAAATGGTGACATTTACTCCTGCTGGGAATGTGGCTGGGCAGCCGAATGTTAAAGAGGGCCTGCAGGGCTGCCTGCGCTGCTTGACCCTTGGCCAGCTTCTTGCTACGTCCTGAGCCTTCAAATGTTCTCCCATCCACTCGCACTGCCATCACAAAACTCTTGATGTGCTGCTTCTCCACTGTCTCCGACAGGCAGACGTACCGCAGGCCCGACCGCAGCTCATTTAGCAGCACCACCGGGTTCTTCTCACTCTCCGCTTTGGATGCCATCTTGTGCTTGTTTTGCTTACCGTGGCCCATTAAGTCCAGCGTATGGCAGAGTAAGCGCCCGTGTCGATAAGCAGTGGAAAGCAATTCGTTATTAACGGGGTTATAGACTGAAAAGTCCTCGCTGTGTGTAGATGGTTCAAACTCCTTGAACAGAGTATCTGGAAAGTCTGCCTGATCAGAAGTAAAGTCCGTGGATGGGTTGATGCAGTTCCCCATGGCAAAGTGAGCTTGGCAGGCGTTGGGGAACTGAACGAATGACTTCAGAGCTAGCTCTGCAGCACGCATTTTGGCTTTCTTTTTTGTGGGTCCTGTGCCTTCAAATGTAAGTCCATTTACTTCCACAGCAACAGCAAAGACTGGAGCATGCACTGGACCTGTCTGGGAAACCATTTTATATTGTAAACCTGGTTTAAGTTCGTGTAGCTGAACCAGAGCATTCTTTGGCGTCACTGACCATGAGACTTTCTTCCAGATGAGCTGGAGTTTGCAGAAATGGCCATTATTGCCTTCCTCTAAGGGTCTTTTTCTCTTACTGCTAGGTGTTCCCCCTCTTGCCCTCTCATTAGAAGATATTGGATGATCCTCCAGGTTGCCAATGTTTCGATTTTCCTTTACTTCTGCACTGCTGGTGCCTGTCAGTAAAGAAAGAAAAAACCTCACGTTACAGGTGTCATCATAGTAGCTGACATTATACCTAGGGCTGGCAGAATAGCCAAAAAAGAAAAAAAAAGTTAATGATAGATATCCTTGCTCAGCTCTTTTTGCGGGTTTTCCTCAAATATCAGTATAATTGGTGGTTTGTTATTTATAGCACAGATTTTCTGTGTGTCCTGGATGTTTACTTGTCTCTAAAGTTCTACTTGTATTAGTCACTAGCCTCCTGTTGTAAAAAAAGATTACATCACTCAAAGATGAAACATAACTGATGCCGTGTGGCTTAAATGAACTGCATTCACACTGGATAATTACTAGTAAAAAGTGAATAGTTTGCAAAGTTCCCTTAGGCTGAGATTTGTTCTATAATCCATGTGGGTGAATGCTTATGAACACATTATTAGAAATCAGAAATGATTCACAAATGATTCACAAACAGAAAAATGGGCATATGCATTGAATAATCTATTTGCAATGAATACATTGACTGGCTCTACTCACACCATAGGCTCTTGTGTTGCTAACATCATGAATCCTGCCTAAAAAATGATCTGACAGACCTTCCTAGCATTTGAAACAATAATTTGGTCTGGGCTCAGATTCCAGTTTAATAAGTGAGAATCTTTCTGTCAAATTCAACTGCAGATACTCTTAGCTCCCGCATCAGAAATTCTAGATAAATCTAAATGAGAATAGGAAAAGCCAGAGCATCATGACGGGAGTAATTACTGATGTAAAGAACGATCTATGTCAAAGAAAAGCAATAGGAGAGAGTGACTGCCAGGAGCGCCAGGAAGGGAATGAAATGACAGTGGGGAGCTATGGAGGGAGCACTTCGTTGTTGTTGAGCCAATGAATCACACGTTGCTCTGAACTACGCTTGTACAACAGCTGCGAGGCAGTGCTCTTTGCTACAGCGGATGCATGACTGAGAATGGAGATTCATCTCACTGATGTCCTGAATGAGACAGAAAATGTGCTGTCTAAATAAGCATCCTATAGCATTTCTGTCATTTCTGATGAGTTTCTTTAAATGTATTGCATCTCTGATACATCCTCCAATCCTCCTGTGCGTTCCCTGGGGCAGAGACAAGTTGAGGAAGTAAACATGAGTGTAGCCAACCCGTGAAGCAACCTGTCCCTGGAGCGATTCACCTGATCCCTTTCTGAGCAGAGCACTGCCTGGCTGCCTGCTGTATTCCAGCCAGCACTGAGCGTGGAGCCTTTCCCATGGTTTGTTATTACCAGACATGAGCATGCCACCTGTGCAGGCTGCGTGAGTCCCGAGCACAGAGAAGGTCCCTGTGGTCCTTAGAGGACAGAGAATGGTCCTCCCACTTTCTGCGGGGCCATGGCCGTATTTGGTTTGCTCTCTACCCTGATGTACAAGCTGGCTGCTAGGATGTAAGGGGTGAGCTGCTGGCTGTGCCTCGAGGAGCTTCTGCTGCAGCCCAGTGTTAGGTTGGGCTGGCAAATGCTCGGGAGCCTGCAGAGAATTGTGTGGAACAAACCATCATGATTAAAAACCTCCTTTGTATCCTGATGAGTTGCACTTGTATTAAATATCAAAAGACTTTTTCCCATCAGAGCAATAAGTCTGCACTCATGCAAGTTGTGCCACAGAAAGCAGCTCACTGCTTAGACATGAGTAAAAATCATGGCTCAATTGCATGTGTGGGGGCCCATTTGCAGGACCGAGTCTTTAGGCTCCCTTTCCTGAAAACCCTTCAGCGCACCCTGAGCTTCCAGCCTGAGCCTATGTCTCACCAAAGTTACTTGCAGAAGTATGTGCTGCAGTGCTTTGCTGAGGCAGAACGTGAACTGACAAATTAAGGTCTTAGTGACTAGTTAATTTTTACTTTCTGAAGCTAAGGGGAGAGGATGAAGACAGGTGAGGAAGGAAAGAAAAAGAAATACATAATAGAAAAAGAAAAGTTTCATCATATGGCATTCAGCTGTATAAAATATGACATCTTTAAACCAGCCTCCCTGGAAATAAGACATTTAAAAGGTCAGGTTCACTAAGACACAAGGATAATGTGGTCTTCTCTCATTGAGTTCACAATTCTATTTATGGAAACTCTGATCTGAGGGGGAAGGAGATGCCAACTTTAACTTTCCTCTATTTAGCCTGGCAGTGGCTTTGGCCAGCCATTTTCCACCGTGACCCTTTCTCATGTTTCCATCCCACTCAGAATACACCTCTTTGGTTGTGTGTATTTTTTTAAATAAACACAAAATACTTTGACTCAGACATACCTTTTAGCAGGAAGCAGGTTTGGTTCTGCATTTCACACCTCCTCTCGCATCTTATCTAATAGGTTTTTACAGAGCCAATTATGGTACATAATGATACTGTAGTCAGGAAGCATGAAAAGAAAGATAGCTTTTGCTTCACACAATATTCAGGTTTGAAAAGAATTTGTATTGATTATGCACCACTGAATAGGAAAACTCAAGGGGTTATTTGTATTTATAATTCATATTGTCTTATTCCAGCTGTTTTTTCTGTCATAGTCAGAGAACCACGGATTTGTGAACATGAATGTGTGACCTTAACATCTTACCTTAATCACCCTCACTGAAACAGTGGTTAACTAAAAACACGGCAACATAAAATAAACATTACTTGTTTGTCTTAAATTCTGTCTATGAAATTGTCTAGTCCAGGTTTTGGCCAACAGGGAGTTTGCATTGATGTAGTGAAAAAATGCAGAGATGCAAGTGTAAAACTTCCAGAGATCAGGCACAAAGGATATGCGGACAACATCGGGCGTGCGCAACAGTGACTGCCTCTATTTATGGTATGTTTTGGCCTAGTCACAACGAAGGAAATCCATGCAAGTATCCTTACAGTCAACCAGATTTCTAGAGGACCTGATCCTGAAACACCAGGAAATAGCTCAGTTCTTCACAGACCTCAGTGAGAGCTGCAGCAGGCCAAAAGTCATCATGGCATGTAAATCAGAGGCAGCCTAAATTCAGTGAGTGCCTCAGAAAGTCCGTCAGCCTGATGGACTTGTGTGATACCTGGCAGCCGCCGGGCAATGTGAAATTACTTTATACTTTCAAGTATCTTTGAAATAGGAGGTCTTTGAAATGTGTCTTTTATGAGACCTCTGTGTAGCAGACATAAGATTACCTCTCTAATGGTGGCACATGTACTTCTATTTTGAAAATCAGACAAAGCAGGCAAATGACACCAAACTACGTAAGATAAATACTGTAAGCAGCTGTAATAGAACAATCACAAGCAATTTTAGAAATGAAGAGCACTAAAAGGAAAGGGGTAAGTCGGAGGATGCACACAGGGAAAATGCAAAACTATGGATCATTTTCAGTCCTGTTATCTCTCATAATGTCTTTGCTCTTGAGTTCCCAAAACACATTCTCTACATTCAGAAAAAAAAAAGATAATAAAATATGGTTCTCCGATGATGAAAGGTTGGAGAATAATAAAATTGTAAGGGGAGGGAGTTAAAAAAAAAGGAGAAAGAAAAATATTATAATTTTTTGGCAATCGTTTCTAATTTATTGTGTAAGATTTCTAAAAAAGTCCCACACCTCTGCACTGTAATATCTCCTCAGGTAACTTTATTCATTGATTTTTGCAGTTTCACAAGCAAGAGGAGACATTGCAATCTTGTATTTGCTTCAGTAATTGAATGGGAGAGAGGAAAGCAGTTAGTGAAATATATTTATTTATGCACTATTCCTCAATCTTCTGTCTGCTCTTTCATGTTTTTCTCCTTTTGGTCATTATGCACAGTAGAGTTAACCTGGAGAGTCTGCATCATCAAGAGCTTTTCAGAACTATAATGCATCACTAATAATGACTCTGCCTATGTCTCTGGGTCATAAGGGCTCTGCAGAACTAGCCATCCGATACTCCACGCTACATTTGAAGAGATAATATTGTTCCTGTTGAAGGTTATTCTGCTGCCAAGCCAACTGCCAGGGAGGATGGGAAAGGAGAGGTGGTAGGTGGCATCTTCGTTTTGGCTGGCATCTTTACTATTGAATTACAAGGGGCAGTACATTATTGAAAAGCTATGATATTGAAAGAAAGAATTTGCAATCTCTGTAGTATAGCAAACTTCTGATTCAATTGATAGCTCTGACACAGGAAGTTACTGCCTTTAGAAATGTTTAGTAAACACCAGATTGTTACCAACGCATTTTCAACAACACAGGCAGCACTTAATTTTTATTTTTCTGCATTTTAATATCTAACCCCTGTTTGACCTGCCTATGTAGAGCACATTTTTGCTGTCCATCTACATCACATTGACTGCAGAAGTTAGAAGGATTGACCTCCATAATTCCTGGCATACTTGAAAGTGAAAAATTTTAAATCAGAAGCAATAGGTATGAATCCAGGAGCCAGAGCCACGGTACTTTTGTCCAAGGTCAGCTACTACATCAAATGCTATGTAGGGCAGGTAGTCAGTCTCCTCTTGCAAGCAAGATGGCATTTTCATACATTGTTGAATCCGCAACGGAGGTTTGGTAACTCTTCTGTTGGGATTTTTAGGTTTGTATTCTTGACTTTAGAATAATAAACTTGTAGCTAACAACAGAAATCACGCCTTCTCCTCTTAAATGAAAACACACAGATATGTATTTTTAAACCTTCCTGAAAGAAGTCTACTTAAGGGAAACCTGCCAAGCTGCTGACCCCTCTCCACCAGCTCACAGGATTCAAGCTGTTTAAAACAATATCGTTAGACTTTATTGGTGTGTAACACCACAGTGTGAAGAGAACCATTACCCGTGCAAAAAAGTACAGGACTTTCTTAAAGTGAAGATGGAAAATTTGTGAAAGGTGATTGCCATTGCCTTTAGCTGTTCCAGAATGAAGATACTCTACTTTGCCCACCTTATTGTCTGAAATAACTGTGAAATCCATGCACATCTAGTACAGCTCTTACCAATTAGGGAAATTATTCAAATGACCTAATGACCTCACTTAGATGATACTTAGACTCTGAGTATCATCTCTGTCCAAGTTAGCAAATAAGTGCATGTAGCAAAAACCGTGGGCAGCCCATGGCAGAAACCCATCTAAACACATGCCTTCCTGAATCAGGACCAGACTATAGCTTAGCTTTAGGCATGGGACAAATCCAAATGATGGCAATAGACACAGTTTTCAAAACAAAAAAAGGGCGTTTGATTTTGGGGGGGATTGCTTGGGGCTCTGACTGCTGGAAGGGGATTCACTCTCCTCTTAGGGG